AAAACGAACGGTGAACAACGGAAATCAGTGCCTTACAGGCCCACAGCAAGTGCTATGGGAGGCCAGGTATAAGAACAGGGACCAGGGGCTGGTGTGGTGGATCAGGTTAAGCCACCACCTGCAACACTGGCATCCCACATGGGCACCACCAGTTCAAGACCCGGCTGCTTCACTTCCAATACAGCTCCCTGCTAAGGGCCTGGAAAAGCAGCTGAAGATGACCCAAGTGTTTGGGCCCCTGCACTCACGTGGGAAACCAGAGGGAGCTCCAGGCTCCTGACTTTGGCCTGCCCAGCTCCTGCCATTATGGCATTTTGGGGGAGTAGACGAGCAAATGGAAGATCTCTCTCTCTCTCTCTCTCTCTCTCTCTCTCTCTCTCTTTCTCTCTCTGTAATTCTGCCTTTTAAATAAGTAAATCTTTACAAAAATAATAGAAATAACCAACAGACAAAAAGGAGAGTGATGGGAGAGCAAGAGTGAGTCTTGAAGGATCAGTGGGAATGCCCAGGAAGAGAACGAGTTGGGATGGAACTGGCCGGACACCAGGGAGAGACGGCCAAGGCAGAGAGGCCATGAGGAGCCCGATGTGTTCAGGAGGCCTTGGGCTGGTGGGGAGGGGGTGGAGGAGGCTGGAGGTACATATTAGGCCACCAGGAGCTAGTGCAAGATTTCAAGCTGGGGAGACACACATCCTAAGCTTAGATGGTGAACAAAATTCCTCTAGTTTGGGGGGTGAGTTGGAGGAGGGCAAGGGGAGAAGTAGACAGGCCAGCTGGGAGGTTGAGAGAGGAGGCCAGGAAGGGTAAGGGTCAGAACATCCGCCCCTGGGGGAACACTCTTCCCTTCCTCCGGAGCAACTGATTCAGGCTGACAGACACTTTCAGAAATGATCCGTGAGGCAGTAGCCTGGACATTGATCGACTTTTCAGAACAGTAAACCACTTAGTGGGAAAAGGAGTCCCCACAGGAAGTGTAGAGGCATGGAGAGAGAAAACCAAAACAGCAGGATAAGAGAAAGACTTCAAAAGACTGATTTATCATCAGACCTTGCCAATAGCACTTCAGCAAGAGCAGAGGTGGGGCTACTCCAATATTCACTCTGATGTGGACTCAAGTCTCAGCCTCACTGTGTGTTCATTGTGAGACTCTGGGCATGGTATTCAATGTCCTTGGGTCTCCATTTGCCCATCCGTACACTGAGGATAATGACTATGTGTATTTACTTAGGATTCTCATAAAATTAAGCTTGCACAGAGCCTGCAGTTACAGTACTAACTACATGTGCTTCGTGGGCATGCTGTGGAGTACCAAGATACAGCAGACAGTTCCTGCCTCAAAAAGTTTGCAGCTCAGCAGGGAAGAGAAGCACATTGATGCTGACATGACAAAAGGCAGAAGAAAATCAGTTCTGACTGATGATCCTGAAATCAGCATGTGAGAGAGCCAGGCAGCAAGTGAGTACGTGACTTGGCAGCTCATCTGGAGGCTGGCCGTGAGGGGGAGGCTTGTTTGGAATAGGGGATGGAGCCTGGACAGAAGACATCCCAGGCTGTGGTCACATCATGAACAATGGCCAGAGCCCTGCATTGGAATCCAGTCCAGGACCCTCCCCAGTGCCACTGCTCTGGCCCCGGGCAGTGCAAGGAGAACCTCAGGCATCCTGGAAAGCAGACTCAGAGCAGACAGGAGGGCGATGGTCAAGACCGGTAGGCGGAAGGCACACACAGATGTCCTAAAGCGCAATTGAAGCCGGGGGGCTCCCGAGGAAGCCAGATCAGCCTGGTGGGAAAGGAGGGCCTCTCTGCACAAACATATCTGTTTCACACCAGAGCACCTAAGCAGTCAGCAGTGGCTGACCCATGTTCTCTTCTAAGGCCAGCGGAGGCAGCCAGGGATGGGGGAGTGGGGGAGTCCAAGAAAGGGGTCCAGTTTGCATCTAGGATGGCTGTGACCTGACCTTGTAATGAGGTCACTCATGTTAGACCTTGCTAGAGGTTCCTAATTGCTATAGGTTTCTTATGTGGTTATTGCAAGGCTATGAAGGAAATGCCTTTTATTTTTTTAAAAGATTTATTTATTTACTTGAAAGGCAGAATGATGGAGAGGGAAAGGAGAGAGAAAGAAGAGAGAAAGAAGAGAGGAGAGGAGAGGAGAGGAGAGGAGAGGAGAGGAGAGGAGAGGAGAGGAGAGGAGAGGAGAGGAGAGGAGAGGAGAGTCCACCTGCTGGTTCACTCCCCAAATGGCCACAGCAGTCAGAGCTAGGCCAAGCTGAATTCAGGAGCCAGGAGCTCCATCCTGGTCTCCCACGTGAGTGGTAAGGATGCAAGTACTAAGGGCCATTATCTTCTACTTCTCAGGCATGTGAACAGGGAGATGGGATCACGGGAGGAGGAGCTGAGATGAGAACAGGTGCTGCCGTGCGGGATGCAGGCATCCCAAGCACCATTTAACCTGCTACGCCACAATGCCTGCACCAGAAAATACTCCTTGATCTGAGGATGAAGAATGCCTCCTTGCTCTCTACTCCCTGGCTTGATGCAGCCACACCCTAAGGACCACATCCAAAGTCCTTGTTAAAAGATAGATCAGTAGGGCCGGTGCTGTGGCATAGTGGGCTAAGCCTTCGCCTGCAGTACCAGCATCCCACATGGGAGCCTGTTCCAGTCTCAGCTACTCCACTTCTGATCCTGCTTCCTGCTAACATGCCTAAGAAAGCAACAGAAAATGGCCCAAGTGCTTGGGCCCTGCACTCGCATGGGAGACCCGGAAGAAGATCCTGGCTCCTGGCGTTGGATCAGCACAGCTCTGGCTGTTGCAGACATTTGGGGAGTGAACCAGAGGATGGAAGACCTTTCTCTCTGCCTCTCCCTGTCACTGTCTGTAACTCCACCTCTCAAATAAATAAATAAAATCTTTTTTTTTTTTTAAATCAGGAATCAGCCAGCGCCGCGGCTCAATAAGCTAATCCTCCGCCTGCAGCGATGGCACATCGGGTTCTAGTCCCGGTCGGGGCTAGCAACCAGGATTCTGTCCCGGTTGCTCCTCTTCCTATCCAGCTCTCTGCTGTGGCCCAGGAGTGCAGTGGAGGATGGCCCAAGTCCTTGGGCCCTGCACTCACATGGGAGACCAGGAGAGGCGCCTGGCTCCTGGCTTCGGATCGGCGTGGTGCTGACCTTTCTCTCTGTCTCTCTCTCTCTCTCACTGTCCACTCTGCCTGTCCAAAAAAAAAAAAAAAAAAAAATCAGGAATCCTTTGTAGAAAGGGGGTGATGAGGAGAGAGGCTCACTTAATTGTTTCCTCTGTGTACACACAGAAGAATTCAAACACTATTTTGAAATAAGGATTATTTGGGAGACAAACAGAAATGCTACTCTTTTACTTTTTCTGAAAGAACCAATTTGTAGTAGTCTCAGATTTCCAGGAGTTTCTCTAAAATCATCTCCCATGGGGCTGGCACTGTAGCATAGTGGGTTAAACCACTGCTTGAGACACTTGCATCCCATATTGGAGTGGCTGTACAAGCGCTGGCTCCTTAGCATCCAATTCAGCTCCCTGCTAATGCACACCCTGGGCAGCAGGGGATGATGGCCTAAGTGTCTGGGTTCCTGCCACCTATGTGGGAGTCCTGGGTGGAGTTGTTCCTGGTTTTGGCCTGGCCCAGATCTGGCTGTTGTAGCCATCTGGGAAGTGAACCAGTGGACGGAAGATTGATCTCTCTCTTCCTCCCTCTCTTTCTTCCCTACTCTGCCTTTCAAACAGACAAAAATGAACATTGTAACAAAGTAAAACCATTTCCCTGTAAAAGAGTGAGGATGCTATTCTGTCTTAAAGGAGGCCGAATTCTCAGAGTTACAGTCTCTAAGGAGCACAAGTTCCCAAGACGAGAGAACTCAACTATGTTGCTTTCTTCCTATTTCTTTTGCTAGAAAGACTTGCGTATGCTGAGACAGGTGGCTGAACAAGCTCCAGCTCTTCGTGTCAAACCTCAGTAGCCCATAGATACTCACATGAGAAGCATCAACGTGCTATTATATGGAGTTGGAAGTTTTCAGTCTTGGATGATTACTAGCACTGGAAAATTGAAATTCAGGTACAGTGGTGGGGAGCCTTTTTTTGTGCCCAGGGCCATTTGGGCATTTATAACATCATTAGTAGGACATGCAAAATTATCAACTTTAAAATGAGCCTGCTACAGATTTAGTAAATTTTGAGTCCCACCTGGGGTTGCCTTGGCAGGACCAGAGCAAATGCTTTTGCAGGCCTTATATGGCCCGTGGGCCGGCTGTTTCCCACCCCCGGAACTGAACAGAAGCTACATGTCCATTGGCAGAGCTGGACTAGGCTTCCTTGTATTTTCCTGCTCAACAAACGGAGGCCTATAAAGAGGAAGCATTTGGAATATTTTTCTTAAATGTGGTCTGTTTATTATGTGTTGTTCCCTCTTTGATAATACTTTGCAGACAACGTCATGTTAATTCCTAGCTTACGGAAACATACGGGGAGAGCAGCACACACCTACCTACCTCTGGGAATCAGAAAAGGGAAAACAAGGAACACATTTAAGTGCTGTAGGGTCCTCTGCCCATCTTCCCCGTCTCCCCCTCCCTGCCACCCTACAGCCTGGCTGATTTGGGGGTACGACCCTCTCTGGATCTGGCCTTGATAACTCAGGTCGTGGCCCTGCTGCTGTCAGGGGCAGAGGGCCCTGGCCCTTCTGCGTGGGTTGGTGCATCCACCCTGTGAGCAGGAGCTACTGCTCCATCCGAGGCTGTGTTCGGCTCACAGGCTCAGGATGGCCAGCCCACTGGTGGCTTCACCTGCTGTCTTGCCAGACAGAACCAGACAGCTGCCTCCCAGAGGGACAGGGAGAGGGGGAGGAAGAGGTCAGGGAGAGGAACAGGCTGGAGCGGGCAGCAGGAGACCGGGAGGTAGGAAGTTAAACAAACAGGGAAATAGGTGTCTGAGCAGTTTCTTGTTGCTCTGCTCGGCGGCTGTTTACCTTCCACGGTGAGGTATGCCGAACTTTCCACGGAGCCCTTCTGGTTGCTGGCCCTACATTGGTAGACGCCCTCATCCTCTGGAGTGACTCTTTCAATAAACAGCGTGCTGCTTCCTGGTCCTAAAATAATGCCTGAGGAGTGAGAGATGTTTAGATTAGTGGGCCTGGATGACAAACAAAGACAGCTCCTTCTGTAACACAACCTTCTTCCTATCATTATGCATTCAGACAAGGAAATCCGAGCTCCACTCCGGGTAAGCTGGGCCAGGGCTGCATTGTTTGTTTGCCCTCTGTCCAGGCTTTCTGCTAACACCTTCACCACCCGGCAGAGCTGGGACCTCCAGCTTTGGAGATGCAGGTCTGCCAAGTGTGGGGAGCGGCCAGAGCCAGCCTCAAGCACGGCACACATCCAGCAGGTGAGAACCAGCACTTGCCCTGCCCACAACCTCACCATTCCTACCTCAGCATTCAGAACCCCACCCTGTCTCCCTCTTACACACCAGGACCCTGAGAGTCCACGTGGCTAAGTCGCTTCACCGAGGGCTGCATCTGGACTGCAAGCCGTTTATGGCCCATGAGTCAGAGGCAGCCGTGTTTCGTTTGTCATGTTGTTTGGTGCAACCATGTGGCAGAGTTGTAAAGAGCATGGGCTGGCTTTGAATCCATTCCTTACTTACCACGTCAGGATCTGTCACTTTGGGCAAGTCACCTAACCTTTCTAAGCTCTGGTTTCCTCGTGTTAGGATAAAAATGAAACATCTCCTACCCGATGCAGGAGAACATGAGCGGCAGGTGCATGACACATAGTAAAAGCAAGCATGGACTTAACGTACTACTATAAGGCACGGGTTAGGGAAGGAGCCCCAGGAGTTTCCAGATCCCTGAAAGATTTCAACACCTAGGAGCTTACACACCTGCTACTGTCAACAAGTATTTATTGAGTATTTACTAGGTCTCCAGTCTGCATTAGAGACTTTGTGCGGAGGGCTGGGATGTGGTATCTGCTGAGGAGGGAAAATTAATGTATATCAAATGCACACATATACACTCTGTCTCAGACACACACACACACATACACACACATACACATCCAACAAAACGTTTAATGATCGAGAATGAATAAATGTAGCATAGCATACTCAGTTAAGTGCAAAGTCTGGGCAAGGAAGGAGATGAGTAAGGAATGCTTAATGTTGAAATGAACATGCATTGAGCACTTGTTGAGGAACGCTGATAAAATAGGCCAGACCACTTGGTTGGCTATTTTTTTAGTTAAATAGTTTTCATTTTCTCTGATTATTAAAGATATACTCAATATAAAAATTGAATAATAATTGAAAGTATAAAAGATAAAATGTTTTAAAAATGATAAACCCAAACACCTACAATCTCGCTTCTTAGATGGTCCTTTAGTTATTTTTAAGTGGATTTCTTTTTTATAGTTCATTCATTTATGTGAAAAATAGGTTGACCTCCCACTATGTATTATATACGAACTGTAGATACTAGTGAGAGAATAATCAGCAAAGCAAATAAAATCTTGCCCGCCAAGGACTTAACTTCTGCTTTTACAGAATGACAAACAAATAACGTGACTTCGGGTAGCAATAAAGTCTATGAAGAAAATAAAGGAGGTTAAGAGGGCCATGGGTTCTGGAATGTGAGGAGGCCTTTCAGGGTTAGGAAAGCTCTGAGGAGGAGGTGTGTGCCAGCCCTGCACCCCCACGTGGGTTCCAGCCCTGCATTCCCACGTGGGTGGCAGCCCTGCACTCCCACGTGGGTGCCAGCCCTGCACCCCAACATGTGTGCCAGCCCTGAACTCCCACGTGGGTGCCAGCCCTGCGCCCCCACATGTGTGCCAGCCCTGCACTCCCATGTGGGGCCAGCCCTCCATTTCCAAAGCACCTACTCTGAGCAGATGACTGGAATAAGTGAGCTCAGCTTACAGAGAGCTTTGCACTCTCGGTTGAGGAGATCCGCTTCGGTGTGGAAGGAAAGAGAGTCCAGAAAGGTTTCGAGCAGGGAAGTGACACAATGAAGGGGCTGTTTCAGGAAGTTTAGTCTAGGAGGAGAATGCAGGACAGACCGAGCCGAGCAGACCGGCACGTGCAAGTCCAGCTCCCAGCAGCTGCAGTTCAGCCGGGGACTGACAAGTCCTCCAGCCTGGATGGTGGGAAAGGAAGTGGAGAGGAAGAAATGGAAGCAGACACTCTGCAGAAACAATCCACAGGGATCTGTGCCTCACTGGCTTCAGGAATTCAGAGACATGAATCCAAAGTTGGCCCAAGATTTTAAGTCCAGAATATAGGAAAAAATGGGAGCCTTACCCTGTAACCTCATATAAATCATTTATCCTCCTGGGGGCTCTTTCCCTATCTGTACCATGAAAGTAATGGCTTCATTATCTATTTTATGGTATTGCTCTGAGGGTCAGTTTTGAGATAATTTAAAAGAAAGCTTGGAAGCCTTGAAAAGTGAAAGATATGGTCTAAGTGGCAACACAGAAAGTAGAAGTATGATTGGACACAGCGGTGAGAGTTGACAGTATCAAGTACAACAGTCATCTTGCTACCCACAACTGCTCTTCTGCAGGAGATCTGAACCGCAGCCAAGGGCAGATCAAACCCCAGCTTCAGGCTCACACCATGAACAAATGCAGCCAGAGGATTTGGATTGCACTGAAGGAGTTTACTTCCGTGCAACGGCGAAAGGGGAGAGGATGGACCCAAGGATGCGGATGAGCTAACAGCATCCGGCCCAGGCTCTTCCTTCCATCCCGTGCTGGACAAGGATGGGGTAGGAGCGAAACCAGTGGGCAAAACTCTTGTGTCTGATTTGCCTGCACAATGGACTTGGACAAATGGCACAAAGACAATGGTGCGTCACAGGCAGACAGGGCACTCGCCATCCTCACTGGGCACTTTCTCATCCTCTCCGTTTGCTCCTTAACTCCTTTATATACATAAAAAAAAAAAAATGGACTATAGGCAACAGTTCGAGTCCCAGCTGCTCCACTTCTGATCCAGCTCCCTACTAATGCACCTGGGAAAGCAGTGGAAGGTGATCCAAGTCCTTGGGCCCCTGCACCCACATGGGAGACCTGGAAGAAGCTCTGGGCTCCTGGCTTTGGCCAGGCCCAGCCCTGGCCGTTGTGGCCATTTAGGGAGTGAACCAGCAGAAGGAATATCTCTTCCTCTGCCTCTCCCTCCCCCTCTTTCTCAAACTGCCTTTCAAATAAATAAATAAATAAATAAATAAATAAATAAATCTTTTTAGAAAATGGACATTACTCCCTTATTATTTTCTCTGTACCTCGAGTCTTCTCATACTTAATTTGCTTAATTTGTAATTGTCTCCTGCAATTTCTCGTCTAAACCTTGACCTACTGGTATCACTTGATGACTCCAGATCTTTGGCACAGGTTCTGTCTGTCCTGTTGAGCACACCATCTTAAAAGGGGTCTATTTGAGTTTAATTTGAATTTTTATTGTAGTTAATGGAAACACTTTTTAAGGTGTAGAACAAATGTAGCCCATGTGCCTACCATTGACAAAATGTGTGTCAACATTTTGCTGCATTTGCTACAGATTCCTTTTCCTCCTTCTTCTACATGAAATAAAGTTTCTAGATACTTTATCCCTTCCCTCACTCTCTCCAGGGGGACTGCTATCCTGATGTTGGTATCACTCTCATGCATGGTTTTATATGCACAAACAACATACAATCTTGTTTTGTCTGTTGAATAACTATAAATGAACATGCTCATATGGTATGTATGCCTTTTCAACTTTTTTTTTCATGCAACAATGTCTATGTTTTTCCTTGTTGAAGCATGTGTTTTAAACTAATGCATAATATTCTACTGTATAAAAAGACACAGATCCAAAACCAAATCTACTCAGCTACTGTAGGATAGTTAGAATTTTCATTATTTTGCTTTGAACAGGATGCTTGAGTGAGCACTTGACAAAGTTTTGTGTATATTGCTATGAGCATGTCTTCTGGTGTGGGATTGGAGGGCACATCCATTTTTAACTCCACCAAGTATTATACAAGTGTCTCCCAAAGTAGATTAATTTACGATTTAATCAGGAATGAGTAAGAGCTTCTCTTTCCTTGTGTATTTACCAGCACTTGATATTATCATACTTTATGAAAGTATACTGAAATGATGGGTGTAGAGCGGTATCTTGCTGTGGTTTTAACCCACATTTCTCTGATTACTAGTCAGGTAGAAAATTTTAATTAACCATTCAGGCTTCTTCTTTTGTGACTTACCTGTTTATATCTTTTGCTCATTTTTTCATTGGCCTATTTGTCTTCTCCTCAGTGATGTTAGGGAACTTTGTATGTTTTGGATGCTAATCCTTTGTTAGTTAATTAGGTTGCACACCTCTTGTTCTATTTATTTATGGTGAATTTTTAAAATACAAAATCTTAAGCATTTTTGATGTAAAAGGTATCAATATTTTTTTTTTTTTACAGGCAGAATAGACAGTGAGAGAGAGAGAGAAAGGTCTTCCTTTTCCGTTGGTTCAACCCCCAATGGCTGCTGCGGCCGGCGCACCACGATGATCCGAAGCCCGGAGCCAGGTGCTTCTTCTGGTCTCTCATGCAGGTGCAGGGCCCAAGGATTTGGGCCATCCTCCACTGCACTCCCGGGCCACAGCAGAGAGCTGGCCTGGAAGAGGGGCAACCAGGACAGAATCCAGCGCCCCGACCGGGACCAGAACCCAGGGTGCGGGCGCCTGCGGCACGGCGGCGGAGGTTAGCGTGTTGAGCTGCGGCGCCGGCCAATGTTTTCTTGTTTTTTAAAAAATCTGCACATGTTGAGTACAGAGGAAATTTTTTTTCTGGATATTGTTAAAAGTTTATTTCTGTAAATTACCTGAAAGACAGAGATAGCTAAGTATTTCCCATCGGCTGGTTCACTTCTGAAACGTCCACAACAGCTGGAGTTGGACCAAGCAAAATCCAGGAGGCAGAAACTCAGCCCAGATCTCCCCTATGGGAGGCAGGGACCCAAGCACTTGAACTACCACCTCTGCCTTCCAGGGTGTGCATCAGCAGGAAGCTGGACAGGAACAGCGGCAGGAATTGAACTCAGGCACTCTGATATAGGGTGCAGCGTC